AGTGCGCGCCGAGCTGCAACCACGTACCTGCGAGTCGCTGTTGAGCGACTGCCTGGAGAGCGAGCGCTGCAGCTGCGCCCACTGCAGCTCGTCGCCCGTGAGCCCCACGGACTGCGCCCTCCGCAGGCGGCGGGGGTCGCGGCGGAAGTCGCGGCGGGCTTGGTAGCGCGCCACGCTGCCGCCGCCCGTGCTCGCCCCGCTGTACGACAGGCGGGAGCTGGCGCGCGGCCGCGGGGAGGCGCGCGGCGGCGCCACCACCTCCTCGTCGCCGTGCTCCGAGGACACCGAGCTGGGCGGCGCCAGAGCCTCGTACGTCTGCGTGCGGATCAGCCAAACACTTACCCTCTCCTCTTTCGTCTCCCCTTTTCCTCTCGCGGACAGTATCGAGTGGGGTCGGGTCGGGGGAGAGCAAAACGACAGTGCCGCGTGCAAAAGAGACGAGGACGACCACGAACAGAGAAAGAACACAGAGTTATAGGGTTAAAAGTGACGGGTAGCCCGGGGCCGGGGGTTCCACGTAACACAGACTTGTATGTTCCACCGCAAGAAAGAGAGCGGAAACACAAAAGTGACTGAAAACAGCATTGTGCTGCCGATTTTAAAGGCGTGAGCGTTCGCAGCTAGTAAGAGCGTAAATGCAGTAAAGGCAGTGATGGCAGATATCACAATAACACATATAAAACTACAAATTTCTGATTAGGGACCGTCCATCAAGTACGTCGTTTTTTGTCAGATTTGTTTAGGGAAGCTCAGCGCCTGCAAAACGCATGGTAGCCCACAACGCAGTACACGCGTGTACTGCAGGCAAGATGTTGCCTACCATTCAGGCGCTCTGTGAGCTTGCAGAGGCTGAACTTAGTAGGTTTGTAACGGCAAATGACGGACGTACTTTCTGGACGATTCCTAATATTTTGCTGTTTATAAATAATACTTAATATGATTTAACAAACTACTGTCGTAAATGCGAAGCTCACAAGAATTGAAAAGAAAGGGTGAGGAAGAAAGGAAAGATGCGGCAAGAGGCTCACCTGAGTGGACATGTTCTGAGGCGGCGGCGAGGTGCCCTGCGACGTCATCGTCCTGCCCGGCCTGGCCCCCCTGCTCCTGTTGGCCGCCACGGTCTCTCTGCCCTGGTTGTGGTCCTTGTCCTCCTTGTCCGCCTTGGCTGGGAGCTCCCGAGGAGGCGACGGCCCCACGCCGGTGGACACCTTGGCGGCTTTGCTCGCCTTGGCGGTCGAGGCCGGCGTCGTGTTGGCCGCAGCTGCACCCGCCTGCAGTTGGGCGCTTGGTTTGGTCCGGGCGACAGCCGCCGCGGCCGGGGGCTGCTGCTGTCGCGTTTTCACGGAGGATGTCGTCTTTTGGATTCCCTGGTTCTGGGCCTGCTTCATGGCTTTGGCGTTCTTTGGTGGCTCTTTCTGGGGTTGTGCTTTAGCTCGGGTGTTGCGTTTCGGAGGGACGGCCTGCACTGCATTCTCCTCCTCCTCCTCCTCCTCATCCTCCCCCTCTTCCTCCTCTTCTTGGCTAATTTCTTCATCCTGGTTTATGTCCTTCGCCCAGTGCTCATCTCCCTCCCCGTCCTCCTCCTCCTCCTCAGATGCCTCCTCCTCCTCCTCCTCAACCTCCTCATCGTCCTCGACTTGCTCATCCTCATCCACCTCCTCGTCCTCCTCCTCCTCGTCCTCCTCCTCTTGCTGGTGTTTTTGATTTCTTGCCGGCATGGGCAGAGGTTCCGATTTTGCTCCTACAAAACGGAAGAAAATATGTTAGGGAAATGATAATGGGGTTTCAAGTAGAGAACATCCAGTTACAAACAAGAACCATACTTTTATTCAGACTCAAAAATTTGACAGTTTCAAAGTGCGAATTAAAAACAGTCATAAAAGAGGGGGCAATTGTTTACGAATAGAGTATCGAAGCCCAGGGAATATTAAAAAGGTACCCTACAGCCCAAACATAATGATACTTCGCTGAGACCAATCAGCTCAGCGAAAACTTTGTCCCAGGCCAAAACGTGATCTTTCGGAGCCTACCTTTCTTCCTGCCCGCCTTCGCCAAGTCCACGTCGCTGTAGTCGGAAGTAGTCTGCGCCCCGGTACTGCTCGGGGCTCGCGAGGTTGGCTTGTTGCCCAGCCTCTGCTGAGCAGTCCCCTTCTGCTGAACCACCTGCGGCATGGCCGCCTTCTGCTGAGCAGCCTGCTGCAGGGCCGCCTTCTGCTGAGCAGCCTTCTGCTGAGCCGCCTGCTGGAGGGCCGCCTTCTGCTGGACCTCCCTCTGCTGGACCTCCCTCTGCTGGACCTCCCTCTGCTGCGCCGCCTTCTGCTGAGCCGCCTGCTGCTGAGCCCGCTGGCGAGCAAGCTGCGCGGCCTGTTGCGTCTGCTGGGCCTGTTGCTTGGCCGACGAGCGCTCCGACATCGAGCTGCGCCGGGAGGCCGCGGCAGCGGCGGCCCTGCGGTCCCTGTCCGAGGAGGATTGGCTCAGCCTCCTGGACAGGGCCGAGGTGGGTGCCGGGCTTTGTGGCTGCCCTTGGATCCGTGGATTGTCCGAGGTTTTACAACACACGGAGCACACCTTGGTCCCAGGCTTGTTGATAAAAGTGCAGTGCTCGCACTCCCACTGCGACTTAGG